TATGCACCATTTGTTTTGAGACATGATATAGAGATCATGCTCCAACAACATTTAGTGCAATGAGAAGGGGATGAGATGAAGGAGATTTAGGGTAAAAAGATAAACCACATTTGAATTAATATTTAATCAAACTATTATTAAAATCATTCATCCATTTTTTGTGGAGTCAAACTCAACACCATGGATTCAATGATGTTAATAAAGCCATGATCAAAAAAATCAACCCAAGACAGCCAGAAAATAATCACAAAATAATAATATAATTAATATATACATTAAAGGGTTTAAAAATGTAAAAAAAAAAGGAAAATAATGAGGAAAATATCAATTATATTCAAATTAATCAAGAAATAAAAAATAAGACCATAGAAAAATCAGAAAAGAGGCCAAGTAATTTTGTGAAATTTTTGGGAATTTTTAAAAGTCATAAACTATTTTTAAAAATTAAAATAAATGGGAAAAATAAACAAAAATAGTAAAAAATAGTAAAGTCAGAAACAAAAATAAAATAAGGTCACCAATATTTGTCACAATATCATTGGATCATTCCATAATTTTTTCAGAATTTAAAAATGTGTAAAAGTATTTTTAAACATTTTAAACAAATTAAATAAGTACAAAATTCATAAAAAACACCAAAACACAAAATTAAATTGTGAAAAAATAAAAATCAGAAAGAGAATAATCAAAAATATTTTTCATAATTTTTTCAGATTTTTTGGACTAAAAATGAATTTTCTATGATTTTTTGAAATTTAAAACAATTAAAATATAAAAATCAGAAAAAGAAAATAAAAGTAAAAGATGTGGACCATTGGATGAGAGTCAAAACGCGTTAGTAATCAAATCTAAGGGATCTGGCGCGCTGTGCATATCATGGTCTTTAATGAATAATGTACATAATCAATAATAAAATCATAATTTGAAAATAACAAATGGCACGCCTTCATTGGTTAGAAGATGACACGTTGGTCATCTTCAACCTCCAGCCATCACGAATTGCAGGCCTCTCAAACTGTAAAATCAGAAGCTCAGACCAATGATATTCTCTTCGTCTCTTCAAGACGAAGACAACCACACCCTCGCGTCAAATTTATATAAACTGTAACTCAAGCAATTTGGAAAGAAAATTTTGAAAAGGGATTTGAAAAATCATGGCCAAAACGTGTTTCCAGTAAGAAGTAAGTGTTGCGACTAGAACCAGGGCAATGAGAGCAACACGATGATATCAAAGTTTTGAAGAATTGATGAAGGAATCTACCTATTGCAGTTGAGTTGTAGAGCTCTGAAACTAGACTTCTATGGAGCAATATAGGGAATGATTCTTGAATGTAATTATATGGTTAGCTTCAGGGAAGATCAAGGAAGGTGAATTGATGGAAAAATGGATTGAAAAGGGCTTGAGAATAGAATTCGAAGTAGCTGAATTCTGGGTTGTGAAGCAAGTTTGGCAGGGTGATTCTGGCCATCTAAGCTTGGGAAATTGAATGGGGGATGACCCTCTATTTATAGGGAATCAAATGGAATGTTCAAGCGTGTGAAATGATGAAGTTTGGAGGGAAATCGTGTGAACCTGATGCACGAGCAAAGTGTGATCTGATTTACATCAAAACTCATCCAATCCTTGCGTTTCAAGGCTCTAATCCACTTTGGCAACTTGGTTAAACATGTTTAGATCACAAACGCGTGCTAATTTGATGTTTAGAGGCCAAAACATGAATTTCAAATTCTGACTTATGGAGAAACTTCAGTTCTAAGTTACCAAGTTCAATCCAATGGCATTTTCTCCTCAAGGGGTCTTAGGGCAAGATTCTTGATGCTTTGGAAAGATGAGGTTACAAGATTTGCAATGGAAAAATAATGGAATCAAATGGATGCTTGAGCTGAAAGTTACATGGAGTCAAAGTTGAAGAAAAATAGTTGACTTTCCATACTTAGAAATATTTCAAATTCTTCTTTGAAAATGACCTATAATCCTTTGCATCCAAACATGGCCTTCCACTTATAATTTGCTCTTGATCAAAAAATATGGAATGAAGTAGATCTCTTGAATGACATTTTGCAATTTGAACCACTAAAAATCTCCAAAAATTGAGCAAGTTATGACTTATTGAAGTTGGCCAAAAATCATGAAATGACCTATAATCTTTTGCATTCTTAAGGCAACTTCCATCCATTTTATCACTTTGCACATAAAAGAAGGCATGAAGTACACATATTTAGGATCATTATGAAAAAAGAATGGGCCCAAGGTGATAAAAATTGACCAAGTTATGACCATTTGAAGTCACATATAGAAAATTGGGGATTCATCTGAGTGACTTGTAATCTTTCTTCTTCACCAAGTTCCTTCCACATGAAAACTCCTTGGAACTTTTGAAGTGATTTGTTTGTAACTCTTTGAAGAGAAGAATGTTTTTTGGAATCACTTAAAAATACCAAAAGATGAGCAAGATATGCCCCTTTGAAGTCCAAAACCCTAGCCTCTAGATCAAGAGAATGCTTTGAGGAACTTTGCCAAGTTTAAACAAACTTTTTGTGCCAATATTCTTCCTTTGTGAATAGAAATTGTTGAGGATGATGATGAGGACTCATGGCCACCAAAGCCACTTCCATACCAATTCTTCCAAAACAACTTCAATGGTGAGGTTTGAATTTCTCAAGCTATAGACTGGGGCATGGAAATAAACTCATGAACCCATGATGCAACTTGCTAGACCTCATTGCCTTTACCTACATTATTAACAAGTAAGACAAACCAATATTGTATTTTTTCAATTAGAGAGAAAATCAAAGCAAAATATCCATGATCACAAAAGAGAACAAGTTAAGGTGCTTGGTAACTCCTCAAAGAGAAAAGCTAAAGATAGGTAGAAGAACCAAAAGCCCTAATGTGATCTTGTTGTGATTGAAATAATATGGTATGATGAAGGGATCTTAGGGGCAAAAATTGGGGTACAACAGCGACACACTCCTTATTCACCTCAAGACTTGTTCATACACCACCCTTTAATTTATTATATTATATTTTTGATTTTTTATTATTTTAAAAGTCAAAATAAGATAATATAAGCCAAGCCCTCTTACACAAGTCCAAGCCCATATATTTTAACCTAATTTCGGCCTATATATTCACTCCAAATCAGACACAAAAGGCACGAAAGACCTTGTCCAAGAAACCTCCAAAAAATCACAAAATTAAGGTTTTTAGGTTTTACTAATTTAATTAATCGATTGCCATTTTTAATTAATTAATCAATCTAGGTTATTAGGTTAATTATCAAACCTCTTTTATCAAGAAAGTCGCCTAAAAACAATTTTCTTTCCCTTGCCCTTTTTTACCTTTTCGTGTATTTTATTATTTTCGTATTTTTTTGATTATTGTAACGGCTCATGGTTTGTAATAGATAATTAGGGTTTTAATTTTTCCGCAGCCATTTAATAGCGTAGAAACATTTATTTTCCGTACTTCGTCGCTTTCCTATTTTACTGTTATTGTTAGCTAATAGGATTGTATGACAAGATTAAAAGCAAACGATAACTAATCTTAATCAAAGATAACCAGTACTTGAATCACAACACACTTTGCACATCCGCACTTCTAAGGTAACCTCCCTTGTTACCTTCGGATTACAAAAACAATCATGTCCCTCGAACGTGGGGACGTTTTAGCACTGTCTCTAAAAAACAAAGATCATAATCCCTCGACGACCCTTTCGATGCTGCCTTCGATAAACGATCTAGTCCCTTAAATGAATTGCTAAAGCGCCCCTACGAGTTGCCTTCTCTAACTGTACGATGACCTACACCTGTCCCTTTACATCCAACGATAAGGCTTCCTACTAACTATTGGTAGAATAACACTGTCTAAAGGAGAAGAAAAAGAATAATAAAGACCTTGAGTAGTTAGATAGTTTTTAATTGCTTGCTCACAAGCTTTTTTCAAAATAAAAACATCTTTTCACAAACACTTTCTCAAAATATTTTCAAACAAACACTTCGTATGCATTCTCGAGGACAGATACGAGGATCATTACAAAGTTTGCCTTACTAATGGCATTTTCAAAATATTTTCAAACAAATCACACACACAAAGCAAGTGTTTTTTCAAAAGTGAGCTAGCAATTAAGAGTCCGTAGATAACTACGGATGAAAAGAGTGCTAACACCTTTCCTTTTCATAACCTACCCTTCGAACTCAAAAAAATCTCAAGGTCTTTTCTGTTCTTTTCACCATTTCCTTCTTGGATAAAAGAAAAGTCAGTGACGACTCTTACTATCTATAACATTTACGATAAAACACAAAAACAAATCAGTTCTCTCACCGTATTACACATAGAATACGATTATAAATATAAAAGTTGATGTTCATACAAATGTAGACTTGAGTACGACAATTTTTTCAAATAATAGATATAAGAAAGAATAATATAATATCATATTCAAATCATACCCATTATCATTCCTATCCAGATATACTCTTTAAAGATTCCAAATAAAAAATACTGTTTCAAAAAAAAATTAATTTTTCAATTTTCAATGATAGGATACACACATTATTATTATTTTTTTAGTGTCCATGAGACATTCCTTAGCATTTATCTTTTCTTATCGACAATAGTGATGAAAGAAGATAAGGAGTTGAACTAAATGAATATAACGCCTGTTTCTCACCAAACGTACATACTTGACTACAACGTACTCCGACACGCCAAATTTTGAAACCTTAAAATCCGGGACCCACCCTCTCGAATATTATTTTCCCTCACTTTTCTTCACACACTCATTCCCCACTCACTCTCTGCACCCGTTTCCTTCCACCCACTTTCCTTCCCTTCCCTTTCCCGTGTCTCTCTGTAAAACCAAGCAACCAAAAAACCACAGCCCGTGACTCTTTCACTTAGATCACAATCCCTCACTTTCTTCGAACCTTCCTTACTTTCTTTCTTCTTCTACATATCCATTTCACTCTCTCTCTCTCTCTGAAATCGCTTCCATTTTCGGTATACACATTTTCTCTTTCTTATCATTTTCAATGTATCGCTTTTTTCAACTGCTTATTTGACTCTTATGCTTTCTGTCTTGTCATTTCACTGTTCTCAATACTTATCATTTTCACTTATTATCACTTTTGCCACGTTCATCGTCTTTCAATACCATTTTTTGTGTATGTTAGATTATCAATTCGATAATATTTTCAAATTTGGACGTTTTTTCTTTATATATCTAAGTTTGTTTTTATATGGAATTAGATTTTTCCATCATTTTCAAATTGTAGTTTTCTATGCACTTTTTTTGGGGGTTTTAGGAAAGGAATGGTGTTTTTTTTTTTTTTTAAAGATTGAATTGAGTGAGAATTTGGTAAACACAAGTTTGATTTGGATGAAATTGATTTTGTAAAATTTATTTGAGTTTCAATTGAGAGTGTTTTTAGTCTTAAATCAAGTTTGATGTTAAACTTAGTGTACATTTTCGACTCAAGATCGAATTTTCAACTCCGGTTTGATAGTAAGAAAATCAATTTAGATGGTTTTCACCCAATACCAGTATTTGTTTTTGATATTCACATCGACGGACTTGTGCTTTTTTCAATTGTTTGATAAATGAAGTGAGTATTTGATATTTTTTTTTATATTTTGATGATTGGTAATGTCTTTTTTAGTTTCAGGAGTAGGCTGGGAGAATTCAAGGTGATGCTATTAGTTAGTCAGTAACATTCATCTTCTTCTATATTGTATTTCAACTAGGCTGCAGTTATGACTGTGAGTACTACTCAGCAAGAGAAGTTTGTTAGGTTAGTTTGATTATGTGTGCCTTAATTTAACCTGTGATGTTTTGTTGTTGTTTGTGGCAATTTTGTCAGCATTTTCTGTTGAGGCTGTTTCTTTTGTTCATTTCTACTGTCAGAAACTAAGAGCCACTCTTTCAGTTACCTCTCTTCCACATCAAAGAGCTTTGAAATTTGCTAATTGTTAAAGCATTTAATTTTGAGATGTTTAGTATTTTAATCAACATTTTTTATTAGGCCATCTTTTGTGAATGTATATTTGAAAATATGAAGCACTGACACATATACGGACACTCACACATACATGATACATGTACACTCTGGTAATAATATAAGATAATGGGAGTAATTGAATTTAACCACACATGTCATGCCGAACACCAACATGCCTTCAATTTGAAGTATTAGTGCTATATAGATTATAATCATCCGTTAAGTTTCTATTATTTAATTCTTGTGATGTTCAGGTTTCATGATTCTAATTCAGAGATGTTTTCTGAGAGAATTCATCCTGCATTTAAGCCAACACAGTCGGGGAAATTTAGAACCACATTAAGTTCATTTTCTGAGAAGTTTCAAAGGGGATTGGAATCTGGTTCTGAGAGGATGATGAGGTTCAGAACAACATTCGACTCTTTTCACCATAACAGCGCCCTTTCTAGAAACTTTGGCTCTAAATGGAAAATACTTGATCCACAAGGTTCATTCCTTCAAAAGTGGAACAAGATATTTGTGTTGTTATGTGTCATTGCTGTATCACTGGATCCTTTGTTCTTTTATGTTCCTGTGATTGATGGTGAGAGGAAATGTCTTTCACTGGACAGAGGGGTGGAGATTACAGCGACTGTTTTGAGAACTTTCTCTGATGCATTTTATATATTCCACATGATTTTCCAGTTTCGTACTGGATTTATTGCTCCCTCTTCCCGAGTATTTGGAAGAGGTGTTTTGGTTGAAGATTCTTGGGCAATTGCTAAGAAGTATCTGTCATCATATTTCTTAGTTGATATTCTTGCAATTCTTCCCCTCCCACAGGTATGCCTCTCTAATATGTTAAGGGTTTATGAGGATTAGATTCTAAATTTTACACTGTGATGTGTTCATTTGTAAGCTTATTGACTCAACCTAATAACAAATTATTACTAGGTGGTGATTCTAGTTATCATCCCGAAGATGAATGGCTTTGAATCGCTAAATACAAAGAACTTGCTGAAATTTGTTGTTTTCTTCCAATATATGCCTCGGCTATTACGAATAATTCCATTATATAAAGAAATTACAAGGACCTCTGGCATTCTCACTGAAACAGCTTGGGCTGGAGCTGCATTCAATCTCTTTCTTTATATGCTTGCAAGTCATGTAAGTCCTTGCTACATTCTCACTAGCATTTTTATGAAATTATTTTTGGTAATGTATTTCTTTCTATTATGTGTTTATATGTTTAAATTCAAACTATTTACATTCTATTTCCGGGTTTACAAGTCTTTTTCTTTTAAGTCCATCAATTATATACCTTTTTACCTTTGTGTTGGTAGTTTTATTCTTTCAACATGTTTATTTTGTCTGATCAATAAGCTAAAAGCTACCGTTCATAGTAAACTTGCTCTTTTGGTAACTCTGGGCTTGCCTAAGTATGTTAGGATTCTCACTCCTGTACAATATGTGCTACTAGCAGTACACAGCTAGTTGCATGACAGATATAGCGGTTTTTAATGATATTTGAATATTGGGTAAAATCACTCTAGCCAAGGTTTTGAAAAGGAACTTAGTTTTACTGATAGACAAATGGTAGACTAGCCAGTAGTGAATTTGGCTATTCAAATTAGCAGAAATTAAAATCACAGAATAGAGAGATGTTTCAAGAAAGAGTCCTAGCCGTGGAATGGGAATGGCCAACCCCTCTCAACACCCGTCCTCACAAAGAGATAGACTCTAGTAATAGGAGGATAACTATTACATTTCAATTTCCAAGATTTTATGATACTAAAGATTTATTGTGAATATTTTTTAATTGTTGGACCTGTCTTAAATTCAAAGGAAACTGTATGAAATGGGTGAGACAAAATGTGTTTCTTTAAGTGCATTTGCGTATTTTGTTCCACCTAATATATTTATGATTGATGATACAAAAAACATGATGATGCTGATCAATAAAAAGAAAATAATTAATAACTGCGTGGATTTAAGATATTTTATTCAATTTCTTAAAGCTTCTTTTTTATGTTTTTATGGACAGTATTTTAGGTCAGATTTTTGTTACGTAAGATTTCTAGTTTTGTATTTGCAAGTCTCATAGTTGGCTTGGGTTGCTAGTTAGTATCATTAATTACTTTTGGGAGTTGTTTCTTGCAACTTATGCCCAGAAAGTTGTATTTTAGTAATAGTAATCTTAGTTCCCTCAGTAGACAATCATATAGACTTGTGCTTGTGTTGGAACTTGGATATGTTTGACAAATGGCACTTGTATGTATCAGTCTTAAGTGTTGGCACATCAGTGTTGCATTTGTTTTTCACAAAATTACAATTTCGATGCATGTTTGAAATGATGTCATCTCCATATGTTTCTCGTTTCTAAGTTGTTTGTTTTGTTTAGGTCCTTGGTGCCTTTTGGTACTTGTTTTCTATAGAACGAGAAACCACATGCTGGCGAGAAGCCTGTCAAAGTAATAACATGTGTAAGAAGGCAGATATGTACTGTAATGACCATGGGGGCGGGTTTAAGACAATTTCAACATTCTTGAATGCTTCTTGCCCAATACAGGAGGAGGATAAAAAGCAATTTGATTTTGGAATTTTCCTTGATGCCCTTCAATCCGGCGTTGTGGAGTCGAGAGATTTTACCCAAAAACTCTTTTACTGTTTTTGGTGGGGCCTAAAAAATTTGAGGTGTGCTTCATAGATTATTTTTTAGTATACTATATGAACATATATTCTAAGGCAAATCATATTATGTTACAATGTACTGTTACTAAAAGTACTGATTATGTTACAACGTATTACCTAATATTCTTTAACTGTTCATTCATCCTCTTTATTTGGATCTGCATTCCATTATTGCAGTTCTCTTGGTCAGAACCTAGCAACAAGTACCGATTTTTGGGAAATCTGTTTCGCAGTTTTCATTTCCATAGCCGGTTTGGTTTTATTTTCATTCCTCATTGGAAATATGCAGGTATGTACCCAAAATCTTGAGAGAAACTGGTAGCTATAGTGAGTGTATTAAAGAAAAGATAACAGAAATGATAGAACAATCCTATTTAAGAAATTTGAGAGTCTTGGCCTCTTTCTTTCCTTTCTCTATATTTATTACTAAAATTTAACAATATAACTGACATCATAAATAACTTCCCAAAACTGTCAATCTGCATAGTTTCTTTTAATCATGCAATGAAGCTGAGAAGCACTATTTATTAATGTTCTGTTTAATTTTGTAAATTTGATTGCTGGTGCCCTTTTATGATTTCCCAGATTAAATTCATAGTTTTCCTTTTTTGGCTTGTTTCGATCGGAAAGTCTTTAATTGTATGAAGATTCCTTTGTTGGGAAATTGAACTATTTATACTTTTTTTTTTATCTTCAACTTATCTCTAGATAATACCCTGAGCTTTTAGGGTTTGTTTGATTGTGGTTTAGAACACTAGTTGTGTTTTTTAACCTTTTATTTTCCATGCGAAACTCGGATCAATATTTAAACACACGAGCCGTTCTTTTATTAGGATGTTCTCTAGGTTTTAACTTACTATACTTGATTTGTTTTGAAACAGACATATTTGCAGTCAACAACTACAAGATTGGAGGAGATGAGAGTAAAAAGGAGGGATGCAGAACAATGGATGTCTCATCGATTGCTTCCTGACAGCCTGAGAGAGCGAATCAGGCGGTATGATCAATACAAATGGCAAGAAACCAGGGGTGTAGATGAAGACCGTTTAATTCACGATCTTCCCAAAGATTTAAGAAGGGATATTAAGCGCCATCTTTGCTTAGATTTGCTGATGAGGGTAAGTTTTTCCAACTTTTTTAGTTGTCTTGTTACTGGATTCATTATATCAAAAGGAAGTCTTATGGGTTTTAATGAAAGCCCTTGAAGTGGAAACAAAATATCATTGCTATTCGATGATAAGAGACTATATAGTTTGATTTTTGCATTTAACATTTTTAATAATAACCGGATGCTTTTCTCTTGTGTATGAAAAATAGGTGCCAATGTTTGAGAAAATGGATGGACAACTTTTGGACGCAATGTGTGACCGTCTCAAACCAATACTTTACACAGAACAAAGCTACGTTGTTCGGGAAGGAGATCCCGTTGATGAGATGCTCTTCATCATGCGAGGCAAGCTGTTGACCATAACAACTAACGGCGGTAGAACTGGCTTCTTCAACTCTGAATTCTTAAAAGCGGGCGACTTCTGTGGAGAGGAGCTTCTCACATGGGCCTTAGATCCTCATTCCTCATCCAACCTTCCCATTTCCACTAGGACGGTCCAAACCATCATAGAAGTCGAAGCCTTTGCCCTAAAAGCTGACGATCTGAAGTTTGTGGCGTCTCAGTTTCGGCGCCTTCACAGCAAGAAGCTGCGCCACACTTTCAGATTTTACTCGCAACAATGGCGTACATGGGCTGCATGTTTTATACAAGCTGCATGGCGGCGCTACTGCAAGAAGAAGCTTGAAGAGTCTCTTATTGAAGAGGAGAACAGGCTGCAAGATGCGTTGGCAAAGGCTGGTGGTACCTCAACAAGTCTAGGTGCCACCATATATGCTTCCAGGTTTGCTGCCAATGCACTCAGATTATTGCGACGAAACCGTACTGCAAGGAAGATAAGGGTGCCAGAGAGAATACCCGCAATGTTGCTTCAGAAGCCCGAAGAACCTGACTTTACTGAGGAAGAACAATAGCATGTAGTTGGATATTGGTTTACTAATTAGGAAAGGTGAACATAGTTATAATGCAGTTGGGTATGTCCGGTTTATTAATCAGGAAAGGTAAACATGCGACAAAACTTCGGTAGGATATGTTCATATTAAAATTTGAGTGAAGTTGTATATGTAAATATATATGTTATTGTTATTAAATGATTTTCAGGTTAAATTTTGCTTTCCATTCCTCTTTTTCTTGACTTCTGTCTGAACTCATGAAGAGAGTCATGAATGTAGACAGTATATAGAGAGAAAAAAACCTTCATTTTGATTTTCTGATTATGTTTGATATAGGAATGGGAGAGTGGACAATTTCGCAGATGCATTACTGATTCAGTGATTGTTTCTTGTTTTGTGCCAATCTGTTTTTTGTTTGCAATTCTATTGAATATGTGTTGCTGCTTTTCGGTGTTTCCTTTGTGGAGGAAAAATTCTCAGAGAGTTTCTTAATTGGCTTGTGAAGTTGTGAATCAAAATTCCTTATTAGTACTTTTCTTAATCAATTTTACATTTGTTGCAACAAAGTTATATTTTAAGTTTATATATAAAGTAGTACTTACTTTCATTGAAATAAAATCAAGTTTTCTATAAAACTATTTTCCTTGCATTGCAATTTATGCCTCATGTTTAACAAATAAATAAGAATAATGCATTGCACACAATAATGACCAAAATAAAGTCATACATGATATTGGTATAGATAACAATCACATCACACCTAGTTCTAATTTTTCCCATGACATGTCAAAACCGATGATTGATGGCTAGAAATTAATGAAAATTATGATGTCCATTGCTACTGCTATGTGCTACAAATGCAACAGTTTCACAGAGCACTGAGCAATCCCACCTCCCTCTTCAAAAATGCTGGCAAGGCAAATGCAGCTTTGTGCATCTGCACAAAGAAACACAAGACATTACTGGAAAACAAAGTAAATTTTATTAATAAAAGTACACATATCTTTGGACCATGTAATTACTAACCTCTGAGTTATAGAACCTAAGTTCTCTTATGTGTTTAGCAGCACCTTCAACTTTTTCAATAGGATTGACAGGGTTCACAAAATCAACAGATGACCCCTCTTTTGAGCATAGTATAAAGCCTATCAAACCACTTCACACCATGGAATAATAAATCATGATTTTTAGGGAATTGAAAGTAGTAATGAATGTCTGAGAGTAACATAACATGAATCACGAAATCGAAAAGTGTAAATAAACTACCTCGGATATGTTGGAACACTTGTCCAAGCATAAGATACCGAAGAAAATGTTTGTTTACAGATAGATATCATATCTTGAATAAGATGAGTATGAAGCCACATACTTTCTGCCATATTACATAGCACTCCACCAGGCCTTAATGCCTTAGCAATTGTCATAAAAAATGGCTTCTCTACGAGTTCCTCACCAGGACCTAAACCACCAAATATATAATAATTAGGAGACTGTGATCAGAGGAAAATGTAAGAGGAATCAACAATAGAAATGAAATAACATACCCACGGGATCAGAAGAATCAACAATTATTGCATCATACTTTCCTTCAGAAGTACATCTAAGAAATTCAACAGCTGCACAAATTTTGGTAAAAACAACAACAACGTTAGAGTATTTCATAAATCTGTAAACTTGAAGATTGACACTAGCAGATAATTAGAAATAGATACCATCACCAACATGCAGGTGCACTCTAGGATCTTCAAATCCAACCGCTAACTCTGGAAAATACTTCTTAGAAACCTAATCAATGATTAATGACAATGAAACTTTCACATTTTGTTTCTAAACTTACATCAATAACATTTTGTTTCAAGACTTACATCAATAACCATTTTATCTATCTCGCAAATATCAACATGAGTCACAGAACTATGTCGGCATATTTCCCTCAAAACTCCACCATCTCCACCACCAACAACCAAAACTGTTTTGGGGGACTCAATAGAGCAAAGGGGAAGATGAGTTATCATCTCTTGGTAAGCACATTCATCTTTCTCGGTCAACTGAACAATTCCATCAAGCACTAGCACTTTACCATATGATAACGACTGCAAAACAAAAACAAAAACAATTGGTTTTAGTCTTTTTTTTTTCCAACACTCAGGTATCTGAGTACTATGTAAGAGGAAGATTTCAAACCTCAAAAACCAAAACCTCTTGGTATTCTGATTTTTCCTTGTACAATATTTTCTCTACTTTGATTGAATGTGCTTCTCCTAATGAACATGATTGTAAATTTTTTTATAATCACATCTCTTACCTTGATTAAATCATTGATCACTTTAGAAGATATTATGAAATTGGACAAACCTGGCCACATTGGATTGTTGAAATAAACAACTCTACCTGTTTTGACAAGAGAGAAAATAAATGATAAAGTATTTTCTAAAAATTCAAGTGAAAGTAATGAAATAAATCCAAATATTAAAAAATAAATAAAAAATGAAATAGCATGATTGATGATTACCAGAGGAAGATTGAGATTGTGAGAACCATCCAGATACAACAGTAGAATGGCACTTTCCTTCAGCTTCATGGACTGAAACCTTAGCCTTCAAACAACAAGAAGGAATTTCCATAGAGTTTTGGATATGGCATTCCATAAGTCACTGTTCTTTTTCAATTATAGCTTCTGTATTGTAAGGAATTGTATTAAAACAAGCAATTCAGCAATGTTAATATATAAGAGCACTAAGACAAAAAAAAAAGGTACAAAAGCATAAAACATATGAGGAGTTTGAGTTACAAATATAGTTTAGAATTTAGATATCTCATACACTGTGAAATCTTTTCCTTTTTATACTCATACTCATAGGTACAGGATCTTTACTTATGGAAATCTCATATTCCAATTTCCCACGCCGAAAAAGATTGACTTTTATTTAAAATATAAACTTGACTTTTATAATTTTAATTAAAAAATAAAAAAGTATTAAACTTATTTGGATTGATGAATGGAATGTAATTAGATAGAATGAGAACGATGAAATAGAATGAAATCTGATAGAATGCATTTTATTTAATTTCACAATTTTCTTTTATTTTTTTTTGTATCATCTGATTTGGACGAAATGATAAAATTGATATTCAAATAATAAAATGATATCTTTATTTCATTCTCATTTCTTCCACTCTATTCTCTTCCACTCTATTCTCTTCAGTTTATTTTACAATATCCAAACATAATCTTATGGTATTTCCTATCGGTTGAGTGGTTCAATCAAGGAAAAATATATAGTTTATGTACCGGTTCCACCTTATCAGAGAGAGAGTAGAGCATCTAAATTTTAATTAAAAAAATGAAAGATTTCAAGTGAAATACGTCCGTTCAAACGAGGAAATATGTAGTATTTTCTAAAAATAAAATTAAAAAGTGTATTGGTGAGAGTCGAAGGTAAGTGTGGCAAAATCGGTCGAATCTGTCGGATTGACCTCTTTAACCCATCATTTTTGACGGTCGAAACTGAAGATTTCGGTTCAATATCTTAAGTTGACCCGTCCCATCTAATATTTACATTGACTGTGGATGCAAGTTGCAATCATGAAATTCAATGATTTATGAGATAGAAATTACAAAATCTAGAAGGAATGAAATAGTAATTTTTTTTATATTATTATTTAATAAAATATTACAATTTTTTACATATTTTATTATTTAGTAACTATTAAAGATGTGTATTATTATTTGGATGATAATAGCCTATGATATAAAAGATAATAAATATAGTAAATCAAATTATATAGTAGTAAGTTATTTAAAAAATTGTAAATAAAATAGTAAATTATAAAAAAAAAATTATAGATCAAATTTTAAATATTTTTTTTAAATGATGGCCGACCTATCAATCTATTAACTCATTAGTAAATGAAACAGTTTTGACTTTTAAGTTTGGACGTCTAAATTGATCCGCTCATTCCGCACTGTTTTTAAACAGATTTAAATGGGATGAACCTAAATGGAACATACCATCCACTTTATCATCTCTTGTCGAAAGTTTGTCCGTTAAAAAAAATTTATATTAGTTGTCACCTCATCCAAAAAAGTATGTTATCTTTTTAAAATTAAAAGGTAGCACGTCTATTCTTTTCACCTTGAAAATTGGGCCGACGTAAATACTCGCTAGAAAATTTATATTTTATAATAATATAAATATTAGTTGTTTATAACAATTGTTGTATAAATATAGACGTGTAATAGATTAAGTCGTCTTATTAGTCCTTCTTACGATTAAATTTGTTTGTAATTTGTAATATTAAATGGATTTATTGTAATAAAATTCAATTTAAATATCTCACTTAAATTAAATTTGTATTGATTAATTTTGATTGTTTAAGATAATCATTGTTTCATATTTTATTGTATTATTTCAATATAGTGTAACTCGTGATATTGATCCTGCACATATTTGATCAAATTTCCATTGCCTCACTTTGTGAAAACAATGATTTTAATATAACATTTTTGAAACTGATTTAAGGGTAAGGTCTATTTACCCATGTCCCCTTTTAAAATTTTCTCACCCATATTTCTCCACAAGAAGAAAATGCATATTCCAATTTTTGATGCCTAAAAAGATTGACTTTTGTTTTATATAAAAAAAATATTGACTTTAGTATATTTTTTTGGGGGAGGATTTATAATTTGATTGAATAATAAAGCTCTGCCTTGTTGTCACACGACTATTGAAAATATGTATCATACCTCCTCAGATAATCGATCAATTTTGATTTTTCATTAAGCACAAAGTCAAATAATAGAAAAACCCAAACAAAAATACAAAAAAAAAAAAGAAACTACGCAATACTGTAAAAACAATAATCATTAATAGCGCATATTTAAAATTAATTAAAAATATATCATCTCCGGGACCAATCAAAACAAAAACCATGGTCTTCAAGCTTTTATAAAGAAAAATAAAAAACAAATAATGAGGTCAAAAATAAAAATGTTAGAAGAAGACACTACATATGGTATGCTATACTATCTCAATTTAAGTAGCATCCAATGAAAATTCAAAAATATATATATTTTTTATTTTGAAAATACATCTTTAAATGTACGATTTTTATATTAAAATATGTGTTAAAGTGAATCTCATTCTATTTTTCTTTAAAATATAATTCGAAGATGTATCTCTAGATTCACCATATATATATTCATGGATTTCTGACTAAGACACATTTATTTTGACATAAATTGATGTGAAAATGCATATTCGAATTCACTCCATGCAGAACCCGGAGATACATCTCCGCATTCACACTAAACAATAAATTTTGACTTTGTTTTAAAGTTATTCTGATGTAATTGATGATGTATTATAATTATACTATCATATTAAATTTTATATAAATTAAACGATACATTCATCAAATAATTTTAAAATGACATATATAAATGAGTAACTCTAGAATCCATAATAAAGTCAAAATAAAATACAAACAATAATAATTCTTAATACAAATGCTATATACTACTGGATATGTCGAACTATATTGCCTATATTGCCTCATGTACTGCAGTGTCGTCTGTACCTCATATGTGATACATCTAAAATGTTCTTCGCCTTAGAGCCTTCTAGAATGACTCCTCTGTCTATAATCGCATGCGCAATATCCATGATACATTGACAGCTACGCAACACATCAACAACATGATATGTCCTAGCCTCCTCATCCTCTAGTATCTAGTGATGAGTTGACCTAGATAGATCTTTTGGAGCATCCGGTGTCATATAAGAATGTGACACCCTGAAATACCACTAGATGTACCTGCATACAACACTCTAGTCGTTAGGAGCTAGGGTACTTCGTGCTTCACCCGACACCAGGTGATTATGGAAATCATCATACATGGCATATATATATATATCTTTGTGTTCCATAGCAGGAGGAGCAAAATTGGAGGGGTTCCTGGGAACAAACTGCATGTAGCCAAACTTCCGCGTGACGCACTCAGGCATATGTGATACATTGGACGTGACCCATAAGACAATCACCTAGAGTAGAAGGCTATGTTGTCCAATAGAGTGATTTACGTATGTCTGGAAGTGTATATCCTTTGCTACTAAGCAGTCAAGATACACTCTGAAATGATTTGTTGCATGATTCCCTATGAGCGGAGCGAATGGAGAAACACGTGACATATCCTCAATATAGGTCAGAATACGTGACCGGTCAGATATGTGTCGGAAGTGTTGGATGATCCAAACTTGAAAATAATATATATGAATTATTAATAATGGTGTAGCACAAGTGTTACGAAAATGACACACAAGCACTAAAAGATTCAAATATATTTCTGTCAACATCGTGCAACTGCTTGTCATCTGTTTGGTCTTCCATATACAACCTTCAACTAACTCGGAGTAAAGGTAGACCAAACAAGTTCCCCCCTATTGTACTCATAGACCCGCTCCAAGTCAGCGAAGTATCTTAGATAAACCACATCCACACAAGTGACACTCTTGTTCATAAAAATGGACGTGCCAAGCAGGTACAACAAGTATGCTCTCAATGTGTATGCTCTATGTTGCATAATTTGCTCATCATCACTAACATCCTGCTCTGTCTAATGTAGTTGTTTTGCATACAATCTCTCAAGGAATTGAAAGCTATCATGACACCCTTAGGTGGCTTCTAACTCTTGCATGGCATCCCTTGGGCTAACTTTCAGATAGTCTACCATTATCACCACTGCCTCATCTCTGATAATCTTTATGCATTCTAACAGTCTCCCCCTGATCGAAAGATGCAATAGACACGAGACATCGTCTAGTATGATGGACATCTCACCTCATGGAAGATGAAAATATGACATTTTTTAGTGTCATTTTTCTATAAATGCGGACAACATACCATGGTTAATTGTAACATAATTGATCCTAAAACCAATATTTAGTAGGTTGCGGAAGAATTTTTATCTTCCATCCATGGTTTATGCATTTTAAAGCATCACAGTCCTGCATAAAAATAAATCATTTTCAAAAATTTCAAATATTATAACAAATGTGTTTCAAAAAATAAATACGCTTGAATTTTACCTCTCTATCCCACACATGATTGACAATATGGTCCGGATATAGACGCGACAATAATAAGTCAGACGAGCCTACTCTAAGCCTTTAGGGTGCCGCCTCGAGTTCCATGGGTTTCCTCAACATGTACCATTGGGGCTTCCGGGGTATCAGGAGGTGAAACATTCCTTCTACGAGAAGACGAATGAGGAGATGCATGAGCCCCAAAAGTTAACGCCTATGTATCAACCAAAATAGAACTGACAGGTGCATGTGATGGTCGAGCTATTTCCCTTTGAACGAATGCATCATGCGTAACTCTTTTGTGCCTTGATATATCTTAGTTATCTGCAATAATGCCTATAATTAAACCACACAAGTATTATACAAATGAAACACAATGAAATGGAGCCAAATAATGCAGACATAAAAAATCCAAAAATGCATCTCTATATCCTGCAAATAAAAATGTTGAACAAATTCGGAGATGCATTTCCGTAATATTCTACAACTCAGAGATGTTAAAAATGGCATAAGTGTAGTCTAATCAAATATAAAAAGACGCATTAGTCATTTAAATTACCTAT